CTAATTTCTTTTCATTTTATTATTTTATCAGTTAGAACCTCCAGTACAATGCTGAGAAGTGGTGAGAATGAACATACTGTCTCGTTCTTTCTCTTAGGAGGAAAACATTTATCTTTCACTCTTGAGTATGATGTTAACCATAGGTTTTTTCATAGATACCTTTAATCAGGTTAAGAAATTTCCCTTTTACTGCTAGTTTGCTGAGAGTTTTGATCATGAATGAATGTTGGGTATTGTTCAATACCTTTTCTGCATCTATGAAATGATTATATAGTTTTTCATTTTTTAATCTGTTGATGTGGTGAATTATGTTAATGCCAACTTGCATCCTTGGGATAAACCTCATTTGGTCTTGATTAGAGTATATAAATACGGATTCTATTTGCTAAGTTTTCAAGAATCGTTGCATCTAAATTCATCAGGAGGGATGTTGGTTATAATTTTCTTTTCTCTCTTTAACAATATGACTGTTTTTTCTGGATCATGCCCCTTGATTAAATTGTAAAATAAAAGCTACTAAATCATTTCTGTAGCTTGGAAAAAATAATGTCAGGAACATATCTGAAGAATGAAAGCAATAAAATGCATTTGGTATGGTTCTTGAGAAAGAGAAAAAATGAGAAAGCTGGATAAGAAAGTTTACATTTTTTTGCCAAGTGAAATTTTCTAAATGTTGCATTTTCAATATTTTTTCCAGAAAGATTAAATATTCAAGAAGGGAAGGAAAATTCCTTGTTTAAAAACATAAAGAAAAGGAAAGAAGATAAAGTTTGGGAAAGCAATTCAAAGGGAGCGGGATTGGTAGGGGAAAATGTGAAGACAGGCATACTTCATGGGGGGTTTTCCCATTTTTTTTTAATGGGGAGAGGGAAGGACATAAACTTCTTTTTTTAAATTCTTTTAAAGATTTTATTTATTTGACAGAGAGAGAGAGAGAGAGCACAAGCAGGGGGAGCTTCAGAGGGAGAGGGAGAGCAGGCTCTCCACTAAGCTGGGAGCCCGATGCAGGACTCGATCCTAGGACCCTGAGATCATGACCTGAGCCGAAAGGTAGATGCTTAACCGACTGAGCCACCCAGGTGCCCCAAGAACATAAACTTTTACTGAGTCCTATGGGCTAGGTACTATGCTAACACTTTTGCATTTATTTCATATAATGGTATTGGGTGGGAAAGACTTTTTGGAGGACAGAAGAATCCACAATGTTGACTTCCAGTACCTTCCAAATTGCTCATATGGGCAGAATTTTGAGGGTAATATTTATTTAATATGCTTGATCTAGTCTTTGAATGGAGGGACACATTTTGAGACACTGACCAACTAGTGTCCAGAAGAGGATTATTTGGACAGTGAAGAGACCCCAAATCCATTTACTTAAAGATGTGTTTATGCTTCCCCTGAAAAAGAGAAAATTAATGAGGGATGGGGGGATAACACTCCTCAATAATCAAAGGGTTTTCTCTTTTTATTTGAAAAAGGAAATACACCCTCTGGTATATAGCTTTAGCTGGCAGAAATAGTATCAAAGTTGGGAATTTTATAGAGAGTAGGATTTCAGCTTAGTCCACGCTATCTGGAGGTGGGATGGAGGTGTTGTGCAAAAACCTGGTGTCCCAAGGAGTGAACGGACATGCAATATCATTCATCTGGGACACTGGGAAGGAATAGAATTACTGGGTTATGTGGGGAAGGGAGCTAAAAGTCTGATAGCTAAGGTCCATTTCCATCTGAAGAATCTCTGAATTGGCTGTGTCTGCCTCCTCCCTCCACACAGACAAGTATGAATACAAAATGGTGGACATGGTGTGTGTATGTGTGTGTGCACGCACGCGTGCGCAAGCACATCTGAGGGCAATCGCCTGAGAGGTCTTCTCACATCATTCTGTAGAATGACAGTGTCATAGCAGTTGGCAGTGGACTTGAGGGAATGATAATCATTTGAATGTTAGTCCTGGTGAATTAGTTCTGAGTCTCCCTTGGGATCAGTGAGCCTTGGAACCTGCCTGTCCTCCTGGGCTTGGAGGAATTTCTCTGGTTGCAGGGTTGCCCTGCTGCCATCTGGGGGCCCTCAAGGATCATGGGACAGTATCAAGTGGTGGTTAAGACCTAGCAATACGGAGTCCTACAGAACAAGATTTGGATACTGGTTTGATCATAGTACTAGCCATATGATCTTGAGTAAATTGCCTGAACTTTTAGGGGAGGACCTTATTTTCCTTATCTGTAAAACGAGAATGATAAAACCCACTTTAAGAGGTCATTGTCAGAATTAAATGAGGTAACACGTAGAAAGCACTAGGAGAGCTTCTGACATATGGTGAACACTTAATAAGGGAATTGACTCTAGTTCGGCCTGACCTTGTGTGCTGCGCACACTGAGCTGAGCATGGGCTGCAATCACTTTGGTGTAATCACCAATTGCATGGTTGCAATTATATTGGTTATCTGAATTACCCCCATGCAAGAATGTGAGCTCCAAGAAGCACGAACATTGCTGTCTCATTCACTATTTTATTTCCAATCGTTTGCACGCTGCCTGGCACATCTTACATGCTCAAAAACAGAAAGAGCTGTGTCTCATTCCCCTCCAGGCCCACTGAGTCTCTCTCCATGTGGGCAGGGACACGTCCCTGCAAGCAGCTCCTAAACAGAGGTCGAGGAATGTGCCAGCCTTCGCTTGGCAGAACTTTTAGCTGTCCACCAGACTAAAACCACAGGCTAACACGGACTTATCGATGACACAGATATGAATTTGTCACCAGCTTTCCCATTTTATCGGTGAGGAAGTTGAGTCAAGGAGTTTAAATAACCATCTACAATTTCAGAAATGCAAACCCAAGAGTTATCACCTTTGTCTGAGAGAGAGAGAGAGAGAGAGAGAGAGAACTGTTCTCGTGACTGTACCAGTTCAGTGAAGTCTGGTACTGATAGCGCAGGTGGTTGAACTGCTTCCGGGTGACTGGAGGGGCTGGGTCAGATTGGGACGGCAGAGCCCTGGCTCCAGCTCCTTCCCTTCTCCCCTAACTCGAAGCCCTTCCCTCCGGTCCCCCTTGTTGCCTGACACCAGGGAATCTGAGTGTGGCAGCAATCCACGTCCAAAGTTCACGGGAAATGCAGACCTCTGGGCGCCCCCCACCCCCAGACCTGTTGACCCTGAGTCCCTGGGGGTGACAGCCGGGGGCTTGGCTTCCTGAGTGGTTCTTAGTTACTGGAGCTGGAGAACCGCTGCCCTGGACCACCTTGCCCTTCCACCTGGTCAGTCTGTCTGAAGCCCAGGCAGCTTCCGCTGCATGCTCTTTGCACCCGCAGCCCTGAATGGGAGGGAGCCCAGGCCAGACCAACACAGGGGGTAGGGGGGCCGGGGGCCTCAAGGCTTGAGGTGGGACCAGGCAGGGGTTGACAGAACCTGGTGAGAGATAGGTCTTGCTCATGACACTGAGGGGAGAACTTTTTCTTTTTTATTTGCTAGTCTCAAAATTCCTCTGACTTGACTAAGCCAGCCCACGGAAAGTGGATGTCAGCAGATGCCCCGACTGCAGCAGGCGACTGGAGCAGAAGACAAGGGGAGGAATTTCTTGTGCTGCTAAGAAGGCAGTTAGCAGGGTAACTAAAGGCTGAGCATTCTTCAGAGAAACCCCTTGGGGAGGGGGAGCTCCCGAAGAGGCTGGAAGAGGGGTCGGGCAGAGCTCGCAAAAAAGGGAGGGGGATGTCGGAAAGAGATGTTTATAGGTTGTTTGCCGAGCAGTGAGCAGTGGGTGAGGTGACCTTGCCAGGGCTGCCCCAGTTCTCCAGAGAATTCTATTAAGCCCATGGGTATTTGGTGTGAGTGATTTTTGTTGTGGAAACTGAAGGAGGGTCAGAGGTTCAAGCAGATCAGGATGATTCAGGCTGCACTCAAAAGTCTGGGATCCTGCGGTCTGAGAGGAGCCAAAGAACATGGAGCACCGGAGACTCACAGAGTCTGAGGGCTTGGTGCTTCCACAGGCCACAGAGCTGAGGAGTCCAGCAGATGTCACCTAATCTTGGGGGACAGGAAGGCCTCTATCCAACTACGCTCAACCCCGAAAATGAAGTGAGAAGAAAACAGGAAAATGTGGTTTGGCTCTATAAATGTGATACTAATTACAGCCATTTGTGCAAATGCTTTCCATTAATGCTTAATTGCTTACCATGTGGTATAATAATTATGCATTGCATGAACTGCACGTCAGATTAGCTGAGTTTTATTTGCCTCCGTATGGGCCGGTCTTCCTCAGGTCTTGAGTAAGCCTGGTTTGGTAGCCCGGTTGTCTACGGGCTAAAACAGTGTGGCTTTACTTACACCTTAAAAATATATATACGTAGGCACTACACTCACCATCGAGGTAATTCTCTCCTCTAAGAGGCAGATTACCACTTGCTGGCTCAAATGTCAGTCCGTTGTTAGTACGTTTTGGGGCTTGGCCAGAAAAAGAGAATGTGAGTTCTATTTGCATTTTATCTATTTGAACTTTTTTATTTAGGAGACCTATAAAGTGTCCTTCACCAAAGCTACTAGATCCCTGCACACCTCTAAACAGAACAGAATAATCATTCCCAGCCAATGTTCATAACTCATCCTAAGTCAATGCTTCAGAGAAGAGAATAAAATAGAGAAACAATTCCTCAGGGTACAGTTAATAGAGACAGTGGATGAAAAGGCTCTCCAGTGGTTCCCTTTAAAGAACAGCTTGGAAGTAAAAGACACCAGCTCATGAATTCAAAAAGGCTATTTCTAAGAAGGTGCCTCCAACGATCTTCCAAACTCTTCCTGTTGGCTTAGTAGGTGCCAGGCTCTGGTCCAGGCACTGTGATTGGGGGTGGGGGGTGGGGAGGCCGGCCTAAAATACCCGAGTTATAAAGCCTTCTTTCTTTCCTTACGGAAATGATGACTTGGTTGGGTGAGGGGCCACAGATGAATTCAAGAGGCCCTTGAGAGAGCAGAGAAGGATGGTTCAGATACATCAGCAAAGCAATCTTACTTCTGCAAGTCATCTGATCCGAGTTGAGGATGTACCCTTGTTTGCATCTGCAGACGTACGAGCCAGGGGTATTGATGCAGAAGTGGGCACAGTGATGCTCCAGGATGCTGCACATGTGGACCGCTGAAAAGGAAGATACAGTGAGTTAAGGCAATGATGACGCCTTCTCTGACTTCATCCACCCACATGTATTCAGAACCTGCTGTGAAGGAGAAAGCAGGACCCAAAGGAAAACAAACTACAGTCCCAACCCTCAAGGGGATTTACAGCCTCTAGTTGGACAAGACCATTCTAAATAAATGCCATCAGCAGTCTATAGATAAAGGGCCACAGAGGGTTAAAGGGAAATGATGCTAGGTTGACGTAGGAAATTGCTGACAAAAACAGGTCAAAAATGATCTACAAAAAACCAGACATTTCACGGTTCAATTAATAATGCTCAATTGGGGAATCAGAAAGTTTGCTGATACCAGAGGGGGCTTTGGCTAATGTGTAGATTTTCAGTAGCAGCAATGGGGTTGGAGGAGAAGCTATTAGTTAAATGAGGATGTGGTAAAGAGTCAACAGTTTTTCAGGACCATAAATCCCAAGAACAATCTTTTAATATGCAAAAGTGTCATGCAGAATATTTTGGAGTAAAAAATGCATTTTGAAGTTCCGTGTTTCCATAATCTTTTAATTTAATCTTAATTTAAAATATTTCTGCATTTAGTTTCTGAAGTCCTTTGGCTTTCAGAGACATCGATTCTTGCATAAGTCTATCTGGAGCTCATAAAAATTCTCATTTTTTTTTACATCTTAGTTTATTACTTTATTTAATATAATTCAACTTGGACATATTTAAAATTAACAAGCATCATTATAAACAGGGAACAAGTTATGCAAGTGTTCTCATAAACAAAAAAGATGTCCATCTGTAGAAATATATTTTTATGAAACTAAAATAAAAGAGGCTTTCAAAAAAAATAAATAAAATAAAAGAGGCTTTCAAAAGCCAAGAACAATCCCACTAATCCAGTGCTTAGGAAAGCTGAGCTACTGAGGGCACCTGGGTGGCTCAGTCGGTTAAGCGGCTGCCTTCGGCTCAGGTCATGATCCCCGGGTCCTGGGACAGAGTCCCACATCGGGCTCCCTGCTCGGCGGGAAGCCTGCTTCTCCCTCTCCCACTCCCCCTGCTTGTGTTCCCTCTCTCTCTGTCAAATAAACAAATAAGATTTTATTTACTTATTTGACAGAGAGATAGAGAGCACGAGTAGGCAGAGAGGCAGGCAGAGGGAGAGGGAGAAGCAGGCTTCCCGCCGAGCAGGGAGCCCGAGGCGGGGCTCGATCCCAGAACCCTGGGATCATGACCTGAGCCGAAGGCAGCCGCTTAATGACTGAGCCATCCAGGCGCCCGTGACGACCATTCTCAAACACATCTCCTTGCGCACAGGTGCAGGCAGTTGTTTCGCTAGGACTGGGTCCTAGTTTGAATACATGTGGCCTAATTGCCTTGCAAGGTGGCTCACACCAGCAGTGCATGAGAGTAACAATTCCCACGCCCCCCAAAACTTCAGCACTCGGGATTATCAAAATGTTAAGTTTCTGACAGTCTCATGAGTGGAAAATCATCATTCTGTTTTTAATTTGCATTTGCCCTGCACCCTGGAAGCCGCTCTTCCTATCCCGGACTGCTAGAGCCCAGTGACCTGCAGGCATGGGGGCGTTCCTGAGGAACTCTCAGCGTGTCCCTCTCCTCCGTAATGAAGGAAGTCTCAAGTCCAGGCAACCAACCACACAGCAGGTTTCCGCTGGTGTGAGGCCCCCAGTGATGAGCCTGGCGCCCATCTTCACACCAGGAGCCTGGCAGATGAAGCAAGGGGGCAGGAGACGTGACGCAGAGCAAACACCCACGGGCAGCAGACGGCACCGGGGTGAAGAAGGTGGCCCCGAGAAGCAGCCTGCCTGAACACTCCGCCTCACCACTCAGTATGACTTTGGGTGAATTACTTAATTTCCCTAAACTCCACTTTCTTCACCTGTCAAATGGGGAAATTACAAGAACTACTGCAGAGGGTTTTGGACTGACAGCTCGTTACTAAGGCTTGTGTTGGCCGTGTGCCGTAAAAGAATGGGAAGCAGGGGACTGTAACTTGGTGTAATGGAAAGCGCACTGGGTGAGAAGCCAGGTCTGTGCTCTGGTTCCCCTCTGCCTGAACGAGGGAGGGGAGTTCAGGTAAGCTGGGTAGCCCTTTCAGACCTGTTTGTTTACCTGGGGAACAAAGGCACGAATGGTGTCTAGGGACCCTCAGGACAGACACTTAGTATTTTGTCTGTGTAGCCACCCCCCCTCCCTTTTCTAGAAACTGCTCTTCCTTCTCACCTCCAATGCATGGGGACTGTCGGGACATGTTGGTATGAGGCAGCCCCCTCCTGGATGCCACTGACCGGCACAAGGTGTGACAATCAGAGTCCTTTCTTGGCATCCAGGAGCTAGAACTGAGGAAAAGGGGGCTTAAACCGAGGGCTAGTACGTGTGGGGGGCTGACAGGATGCCTGCATTCTGCTCACGGAACAGAGAGGAAGAGGAGGCAGGGGGAGAAGGTGGAGAGAAAGTGGAGCTGTCCTTCATTGCTCTTCGCCTGATTTCCATGAGGTAATATAATGCAAGCCGCCCCACCCCAAAAGCTGGTTCAAATTGAATTTCTGTTACTTTCAAGCAAAAGAAATCCCCACCATTTTTACTAAGATAAAATAAAAAATTTCCATCTGTAAAATATTATGGGTGCGTGATTGGTGTTTCCAAGAACATCAGCTGCCCCGTGGGATGGGCCTCTGTGGTGGGACTGAAGGGCGGGGGGCGATCATCCTGCCCGCTCCACTGGCCTCCAGAAGGCCTCATGGGCTGCAACTGGGTCAAGGCTTTGTGTTCTGGGGAAGGAATCCCTAATCAGCAGACTAGGTCATTGGCAGGATTGGGCTTTTTTAAACTAGGAAATAGGAATGTGCATAAATACTTATTAACAAATGCATAAGTGATCAAAGGAACGCTAGGGCTGACTAGGGGTCTGGAAAGGAACACTTACTGGGTACATAGCATCAACCTTTGCTGAAGTCAGTCTTGTCTCCCACTTAACACCAGAGCCCCAGAGGGCTCTAATAAGTGTAGACTTTGCCCAGGCTTCATGAAAGGTGTGTCCTAGGAACACTATTAGAGCCTTAATTTGTGCCTGACCTGGGTGGGGTGGGGCTATTAGGGTAGGAACCGCCAGCCTCCAGGCTCCAAATACCAGGCTTGGCTGATAGAACAGGTAGAAAGAGGTTAGTTAAAAGAAGACCTGCCGCGCCTGGGTGGCTCAGTTGGTTAAGCGACTGCCTTCGGCTCAGATCATGATCCTGGAGTCCCAGGATCGAGTCCCGCATCGGGCTCCCCGCTCAGCGGGGGAGTCGGCTTCTCCCTCTGACCCTCCCCCCTCTCATGTGCTCTTTCTCGCTCTCTCAAATAAATAAATAAATAAAAATCTTTAAAAAAAAAAAAAAAAAAAAGCAAAACACAGCCCTGCCCAGGCGCCTGGGTGGCTCAGTCGTTGGGTGTCTGCCTTCAGCTCAGGTCACGATCCCAGGGTGCTGGGATCTAGCCCCACATCGGGCTCACTGCTCGGCGGGAGGCCTGCTTCTGTTCCCTCTCTCACTGTGTCTCTCTCTGTCAAAATAAATAAATAAGATCTTAAAAAAAAAAAATGTTGTTCAACAAAAGTCATTAAAAAAAAAAAAAAGCAGCCCTGCCCAGATTACAGTGAGTCATCAGAAAGCTCAGGATAGACCTGTGTTTATCAGTCCCTAGATTCAGTGTCCTCTCTCCCTGGGTGGCAAAAATGGTAGGCCCCAGGATGTGTAGGTTTTGGTCATCTTGCAGACAGGGCCTCAATTCACAGGATACCTTGTTTCCAAGTCTCTCTGGTGCTCTCAGGGGTGGCCTGAGAATGCAACCTCAGCATTCTCCCCATTGCTGTGGCTGGTGTGAGAATTTACTGCCCATGGATATAAAGCCAGCGCTGTGCCCAAGTTCATGTCCACAAAGCCAGTGAGAGCCAGAACCAGGTCTCCCACTCAAGGGCAGTCTGGCTCCAGAGCCTGAACTCGTCCTAGTTTTACAATAAAGTTTCCTGCTTTGATCACACAGAAAGACTGCCTCTCTCCTCCGATCCACAGATCCAGCAGCGTTTTTCAGCTCTGCTTGAAGCACAGAGCCTCAGTCCTTCTTGCCTCCGAAATCCTCTCTTTAGCTGTACCACGGCCTCCCCTTCCCTACCTACCCCTTCATCCGCATTTTTCAAACTGTGGGTCATGTCCCCTTAGCAGGTTACAACTAAGAGAGAATCTGGACTAGTTCTTTGCTGCTGTCGTTATTGTTTCAATGACATAGAAAAATCAATCGAAAATATCTTTCCTTTCCTGGCTTCTTGCCCGTGGCCCAACCCCATCTCCCCCGAGTAGCCAGGAAACTCCTACTCATCTGTCAAGTGTGTGTAGCACACAGTGGTCAAGATGTAGGCTCTGAGCCAGAATGCCTGGGCTTACATCTCAACGCTACCACAGTGCTGTGTGACCTTGGACAAGTCATTGAACCTCTCTGGGTCTCAATTTCCTCTTCTGTAAAATGAGAGTTGTAAGAGCACTTACTTCACAGATTTATTGTGTGAATAAAATAAGTTAATGTATGCTAATAGCTCAAGCCAGCACATTAGTATTATGATATTAATATCATTATTATTATATTATAATAATAATATTATATATTATATATTGATATGGTAAATGGTAATGATTATTATCATCTCCTTTCTAAAGCCCTCCTGGAGCCCCTAGAGAGACCCAGGTGTTCTCTGATCAGAGGTCCCTCAGTGCCAGGTGACTTTCCAAAGTGCACGTTTTGGATAGCTTCCATCCCATTTCTCTGTGATGAGAGCATCTTCCCACCAGCCTGAAACCCTCGGGCCTGGCACCTGGAGGGTAAGAGCTTGGGCCAGAGAGCCTGCACTCTGAATCTCCAACCCTGCTATTTGAAGTTGCTTATACTTTCTATGCCTCAGTTTCCACTTCCATAAAATGGGAATAATAACAGCACCTGCCTCATAAGCCTGTTACAAGTATTAAATGAAAGGGCAAATGGAAAGTGCCTAGCCCAGGACAAAATTAGCTGTTATTCTCAGAGTGTAGTTCAACTGATGTTTAAGGAACAAATGAAACTTCCAAAACCTCACAGATGCCTGGAACTTGGAAGACGCTCATTGCTGACGTCTGATAATTGGAGTGCAGATCAAAACTGAGGCCATCTGCCTCGCCTGCTGGTCCTCCGTGTAGCTGACTGCAATCACACACAACACGGTGCACACTGAATAGAGCTCTACAGTTGATAAAGCCCGCTCACACCTCTAGTCTGGAGGTAAAATCCCCATTTTACAGATTTGCAAAGTACCGTACAGCCGGCAGGGGGCGACGCTGAGATTCGAGGCTCCTTCCCGCCACCCACAATCCTACAAAGTCTCCCGGTCAAATTCTGAGACGAATGCCAACCTCAGAGCTGATTTACCTAGCGTGGCTGGGTGGAAGGCATCAGAAAATGGTTTACCTTAAAAGAGAAATTTAGAACCCCCGACGTGCGGAGGAGTGAAGTGAGCCAGAACTTTGGAAGCAGAACCCACGGACGCCTGGCTGTTTGTTCTCGGGCAATTCACTTGAGCAGTTTATGAAGGTGCAAAGAGGCAGGGAGGCTGTTGTGTTGCCTGCCCCAGATATTCATGAGGATCCAATACAAGAACAGAAGGGAAAGTGTTTTACGAATATTAGTTATTGCATTCTTTACCGCACGGTTGATAAAGAGGCACCGGGGCCTCCTCAACCTTTTAAGACGGTTGGCGGGTCTGCAGACACCCGCGATGTGGTGGGAGCGGAGCTGGCCTCCTGCGGGGCGGGTGGGCAGGGGGATTCAGCTCTCAGGCCACACAAACCAACGAATGGCATAATACTGGTATTTTCTTAGAGCTTCGGGATGACAACAAAGTGTGGAGAGGAGGATCGAAAATGCCTTTTAATGTTGCTGCCTGACCATAAAGCACACAGGGAAGGTTCTTCTTCAGACAAGCCCACAGTCCTGCCTTTCCATTTGCCGATCAATCCAGAGAGCTTCTGAAAGAACGCCTCCATTGACATTTTCCGAGACAAAGGAATAAACCCATCCAAACGGATACGGAACCAGTTTCTATTTTAATATTTCCAGGAAAAGGGGAACATAAATTCTGCAGAAGTCGTTTAAAGTCATAAACCTTAACATGTTTGCAGAGCGTTCTACTGGCTGAAGTCAACCAGGTGACCCGTGGCCACAGGACTGCCCTTCTGCGCGCCCAGCCTAATGGCACTTTTGAAAATTCTCCAAGTGACACTGCAGAGAAAAAAGTTCTTTTGCCTTCAGGGCATTGGTTTTATTTATTCATTTATCTATCTAAGTAAATCTTTTGATTTAGGAATCAAGAAACAATGGAGTCTCTGCTTTTTGATGTTAGTTCTCAAGGAATTTTTTTTTTTTAAGACACAGCAAAACACAGTTTTTCCTCTCTGAGGCTTTGGTCAGGGGAGCGGGGGTCCTTAGGCTGTGTCAGAGTCTGAGAACAGGGTCCGAGTCCTCAGAGCCCCCAGAGGGCCAGGGTCCTGCTCCAGGGGAGCTGGAGATAAGTCTAGTCCCTAAGCTCATTCTCCACAGATACTCCTGGGGAACACTAGTCCTTTCAAAATAGACATTTCCTTTTGCTTTCCCATCAAAGAAGCATGGCAGTTGGAGGGGAAAGGGAAAAATGGAAGTGGGCAAGGCAGGACTGGACAGTTTACCAGGCCAGGAGGCACGTTTCCAGTTTCCAGGGACTACCAAGGAGACTGGGTGTGCCGCCTGGGCCCCTGCCCTCCTGGAGGAGGAAAGGACAGGAAGCCAGGGGTAGAAGCAGGCAACTGGGAGGAGGGCAAGTTGGCCCACAGGGAAAAGCTGAGGCAGGAGCTCCGGACGCAGGTCACTGAGAGCCGTCCAGCAAGGAAGGAGAGCAAAGCCTTGTGGAGAGTAGGGTTGGAAAGCAAGAGAGGGCGGAAGAGCCTGCAGCAGAAGCGGCTCAAGGACGTGGGGAGGCATCCCCCTTGCAGAAGGAGGGGACCGCAGCTCCGTCCTCCCTGTGCACCGGGCCGCTCCGAGGAGAAAACCTGCACCACTCCTACCACCATGGGGGCAACGCTGCTTGGTATTCAACCCCATCCAAGGAGACATTATGGTATTTTGTTTTTGCCCTCCGGTTCCCATCTCTACTCCAACTGGTGAACTCTAACTTAGGGAATGCCAGGGCAGTCCAATGTGCTGGAGAAAAACTTCGCCTATCTACTTGTACTCATTCAGCAGCTTGGGTTTAAAGGTCCCTTCCCCCAGGGAATTCTCCCCGAGCACCCCGGCCGCGGTTAGGTCCTGGCCTGAGTTCTTCCTCCATGCCACCGTTACAATGACACTTACTTACTTACCTATGTCATTATATCCTACTATCTGTCTCCTTGGCCAGCGTGCAACCCCAAGAGAATGCTGTGTCTCTCCCGGCCTTCGCCAAACACCTTTGCCAGGGCAGTACCTGGGACGAGGTAGCACAAAATCTACCCTGGAAGATGAAAGAAGAAATCCTAATGATTCCCCCTGAAAGAGCCACAGAAAAGCAGGACTTACTGCACAACTTGTTCTGGAAGACGGATGTCAGTGACTCCATCTGGCTGAAGTTGGCCACTAGGAAGACGTGGTCCTCATGGGGCTCACTCCCGATGGCCTTCAGTGTGTTGAGGTCCACCTGGCCCACGCCGATGGCAAAGATCAGGATGCCGGTGTCCCGTGCCTTTGCAGCCACCTCGGCCACGGAGTCCTGTGGCCTCCCGTCGGTCACGATCATTATGACCCGCAGCACATTCTCCCTCAGGGGCCGGGCCCCCTCTGCTTCTGAGAATGCAATGTTCAGGGCATACTGGATGGCCAGCCCCGTCATGGTGCCTGTGGACAAGTGCCTCATCCTCTTGACGGCGCGCTCCACTTCAGACCTCCTTTTGAAGGTCTTGAGGGAGAACTCGTTCTTGACGGTGCTGCCATACTGCAGCAGGCCCACCCGGGTGACGTCAGGGCCAATGTCCAAGAACTGCAAGATGTCCACAATGAACTCCTTGACCTTGGCATAGTCATGGGTGTTGACGCTGCGGGAGCTGTCGATGATGAAGACCAGGTCCGCCCGCTTATTCTCACAGGAGCTCTCTGGGGAAAGAGGAGAGGTCAAACTCATGAGAGGAGCGCTAAGGGCCAGAGCAGGCTGGCCGTTACTGGAAATCCCAGGGCTGGGGAATCACCTTTCAGAACTCCAATCTGCCCTGGTTTTTCTTCCCCGCTCGGGGAAACTGTAAGGGTATATAAGACGCATGACTGGGTGATCGTGAGTATTGGCTACAAACAGATACTATTTATTTTTGCAAGATAAACGAACACTTCAGTTCCTAGAAAGTCATCCACACAGTTTTTACGTGGGGCAAACACCTGATCAGGGTCAACACAATTTGATTATTTACTGCATGCCACATAAGCTTCGCTGGATACTGCAGGGACTACACAACAAGCCAATGACCAATGTCAAGGAGCTTACAATCTACCTTGGGAACTTAACTAATGGAACAAGCGAAAGAAGAATTATGTGAAGCAGTGTGGTGCTGACACCAGTTGTTCAGAGAACAGGGATGTCAGTGGGCTGGGGCCAAATGGACAAGACATGAACTAGTTTTATGCAATTGTTTGGATCGAGAGAAGGAAACACATGGAGAGAGACACATGAGCAGAAGCCTAAGATGGCAGAAATGGAATAAAGGATGAACGAACTGCTCGGAGGTGCGGCTAGGAATGGAGCTGGAGGTAACGTGAAGCCAGCCATGAAGGGCCTGAGAAGTGTGTGCCTAATGCCACAGGCGATGGGCATAATACATTAGCATCACATTATGTCCCTTAGCTGGCCTGTAGGGAGGTGACATAGTAAGTCAATTGAGGGTGATGCAGACCATTGCTGCACTAATCTGGCTGAGAGGGGGACGCGACCTCAACTGGGGTGGCGGCGGCATAGTGGAACTGGAAAAGGGACTGACCAAGAAACATGTCAACCAAAGATACTGTTAAATGGGAAAAAGGCAAACGTTACGTCTCTCCCCTACCCCCACCATACTTATTCCTTCAGAGCCCCCAAGCAAGAAGGCTAGAAGGGGTTTGAGTCTGTGGACGAAACTCATCACATGCTGGGAAGAGGTTGATAGGGGATGAGCTGAGAGGCCTCCTGCCTCAGAGGGTGGAGGCTGGGCCTCCCTACTGGAATTTCTCCGATGTTCTGAGCTACTGCCTCCAGCCAGGGGCGCGGGGGAGTCCCTCCTCCCCTTCCCAGACTCTGTAGCTAAGTCCAGATTTGATAGGGATTAGAAAAGAGATCCCAAATGCTTTCCCTAAATTCCAATCACCACAGCTGCAAGAAAGAGAGAGAAAGCCAACTATGAAACAGTGGATCCAGTCATCAAAATGAAAAGTGGGAAAGGCCCATGAAGTCATCCTGTCCAGGCCGGCTTGCCAGGTTGTGACTCGCCCCAAGCAACTGCACACACACCTCGTCCACTGTGCCCTCATAAGTCTTCCGATTTGGGGGCAAGGAAGCACCCCCAAACAACAGCATCCTGGCAGGAGACCAACCTTGTGCTGCACCTACGTCTAACACTGGGACTGTGTGAGTTCAAAGTGAGTTTCTCAAACCAGAGGCCCCAGAAACTACCTTCGAGGACTCTGGGAGAAAGATCAATATAAAACCTGACATTTATGGGGTGTTTTCAAATCCTTTTTCCAGAGCACATTCATCACTATGGTCTCATTTGATTTTCAGGACAAGCTCTTAAGAGGAAAGTAGGGTGTCATACCCATTGGATACATGAGAAAATGGAGGCACCGAATATTGGAAAATCTCTTCTAATGCAGGAAAAAACCTATATGGAGCCACACCAACACCCACCACATTAGGCGGTAGTGAGAATTCAGGGGGAAGAGGGTGGCCTTGGGGCCCGGGTGTGAGAACCCTCTTGTCTGCCCACACTGCCCCCCACTTCTCTCCAGCCGGGCCCAGGCTCAGGGGAGAAGCCTGCTGTTCCTGGCCGTGTAGTCTGTGTTGCCCACAGACACCTGCCCTATGAGGCAAGTGGCTGAAATCCAGCCTAGCCCTGAGCCCCCAGGGCTGCGCCCACCCTGAGAAGCACCTAGAAGGGGTGCCTCTTCTAATATTCGCAAAGGTGCCTATGGTCTAGCATACAGCCCTTGGTCGGAGCCATGGATGACAGACCCATAGGTCCCAGGGCCCAGCCTGGCCCCTCTCCAGGAGCTACCCACACCCCACCACTGATGTGTGAGCTTACTGCAGGGAGAATGTGGCCCAGTGACCTCCGCCTGCTGAGGGGAACTGAAACCGGGCTCAGACAGAGGGAGATAGGAAGGAAAGGCTGCTTGGAAGGGGGAGAGGAGACAGCAGACTGGCCCCCTGAGAGCTCTTCCTCTGGAGAAGTTTGGAAGCAGGAGGTCCTCTGGGGTTGGGATTCTTGCTGTGGGTCTTAGTCACGGTATCAAGATCCCATCGAGCATCACAGTCCATTTAAAGGGAAGCCTGGAGATTCCATGGGGAATGATGTGCTAAACTGGATTAGTTCCCATCAAAACAAGTATATAATTTCCACAATGCCTGGGCATTTACAAAAACACCACAAAGTTTTAAAACGTTGGAGGTTCCAAGGGACCTGTGACTGTGAGTGGAAAGCGAGGCCTTGAAGCCCAAGTGACAGAGTTTTCTTCAAGACAACCTCTCAGATCCCTTACGGGCTCAGAACCACAGTCTTGCAGCTTGTCCCCGAGAGGACCAGTTCAGTGGTTCTCAAACTGGAGGTGCCTCCCAATCCCTTGGAGAAGCATTAAAAACTAAGATCGGTGAGCCACACTTCCAGAGCTTCTGACCCTGTAGATCTAGGGTGGCACCAGAAAAGTCTGCATTTCTAGCCAGTTCCCAGGTGAAGTCAATGCCGCGGGTCCGGAGACCACACTTTGAGAACCACTAGTTTAGGTACCAGAGAGATCTCTGGAGAAAAGACGTTCTGGCGAGTCTGGACTTCACCACCTCACTGTGAGTTCCCCGAAGTTTGAAACTGGTCTCATTCATCTTCCCAACCACGTAGTTGGGGACAGAGTCAGTCTTGAGTCAACACTTGTGGAGTTAAAAGAATGCTGGGTGGTGGGGCAAGGCTTCAGGTGGAAGGGATTGAACCAGAGCAGTCCGTTCAAGCAGGTGGATGAAAACCACAAAGTCAAAAAGTTCTAGAGCAGGTGTGGTGCCTGCCAATAGAGTCACAGATTCTAGACCCCAATCTAGAAGTATAGCCACTTTGGAACTTTGGTTCACAGACTCATTGACTAACAAACTGTTAGAGCGGGAGGGGTCTAAATAAAGTCCAAGTCACTCACCTTACAGAAGGGGAAACTGAGGCTCAGAGACATGACAGCTCATTAGGGTCAGACCTGGGACTATACTGATGGCTCTCCCCCATCTCATGGTGGGCGCGTTGGAAAATTCTCAATACAGGTGGCCTGACAACATGAGCTCTATAGATGCTTGGGAAGAGCCCCACAGCTTTTCCACATGGGGACTGCTAAGAGATGTTTCCAGAAAATGGACTGTCCTCTGTGTGTGTTCCTTTCACAAACTGGTTCTGATAAACAGCCTCCCTGTCTCCCTAGCCTGGGAGAAGAGCACACAATCTTCCTTCTGGCCCCTCATGACAGACTTTCAATAGCACGGGATGAGGGTCTGTGGGCACATCATAAAATGTCATCCCTTGAGCCACAAAGTGACAGTCTGGACCTTGTCAACTGCACTCCAGTACTGTCAGCTTGCCTTCAAAGCCCACAAGTTGGGCAAACAAGTGTCTCTTACCGTTGAACCTGAGCCAGGACAGTTTTAAGTGACATTCCCACTCCAGCAGGATTCCAGTGTGCAACCCTAGAATGATTTCCTCTGCTCAGGGTTGCAGACTTGTCACTAATCAGCCTCCTTGCTCTGGGTAAATTCAATCATGGCCGTGGAATTGTACAGCAAATATTTGGTGCCATCTGCCTGGGAAGATCAAAGCATGCTTGGAGAAGGAAAGTATGTGAATATCTACAACAAGGGTAAAATGATTTCATGCAGAGACTCAAAAGGGGCTCCGAAATGCTTAGTGAAGTGACATATAGTCCTATGACCTCAGTGTAAGTCCAGCCTCTGCCACTTTTCGCCCATGTGGTCTTGAGCCTCTCCTTGACCTCTCTGACCCTCAGGCTCTTCTTCTGTGAAATGGTGATAATAATACCTCCCAGGGATGTTGTGAAACTCAAAAGAATATAATAATAATTTATAGCTACTCTTTATTGAGCACTTAATATTACTGGGCCTGGTTCTGAATACTTTCCAGGTGTTGGCTTATTTATTCTTTACACCCACCCTAGCGAGTAGGTACTGTTACTATTCCCATTTTACAGCTGAGGACAGTGAGCCTAGAAAGGCTAAACAACTAGCTCAGGGTCTCATACTTAGGAAGTAGGGGAGTCAGGATCTGACCCCACCTTGTCTGGCTCTGTAGTCCATGCTCTTAACTGCCAAGCAATACTCAGGAAGGATTTTGTCCTTTAGACCCTCAGCATACCCAAGATGCCCCGGGACCGCACCTGCTTTCTAGGGTCAGTTCTTTCCTTCCCTGGAATCCCAGCCTGAAAGCTGTGGCTCCAAGTTGCCTGCCTCCTGCCAAGTACTTCTGCCTGCTACATGCCTATTTGCATTTTTAAAAATGTAATAGAATGATAAAACAGATGCTTGCCTCCCTGAATAGCAGCAGCTCCATACACCAGGTTGCTAGACATTCCCATTCTCACTCACCCGACAAGTGCTTGTTGAGAGGCCAGTAGGAGCAAGGCCCCAGGGGAAACTGCAGGATGGGGCAGGTGTGAGGGAGAGCCGAGGGAGATTGCATCCCAGAGGCATTTGGTGTCTGTGAACTGAAGTATATGGGCTGGTCAAAGACAGACAGCCAGAGAGAAAGAGACTACCGAGTAGAAGGGCACCGCAGTCCGACCCAGGGTTGTGCTCAGTGTGGCCTCAGAGGTGCCCACAGAGGCCTGACATGTGGCCCCTAGGGCCGCTTCGTGTGGCTCTGTTGACACGTGCC